TTTCGGATGAAGCCACACCAGTTCCGCTCACGAGCTGATTTATTGGTGGGCCTGCTTCATTGACACCCACGTGAACGAACTTAATATGCACTGCATGACGGACTTAATATACACTGCATGACGGACTTAATATGCACAGTTTTTTATGTCGAAAATGGGGATGGGGTTTTATATGGATGGTTCCATTATAGTACCTTTCATACACAGATATGTGTTTTTTCGAATTTTCTGAAAATTTATTTTAACCCCAAATATAAAAACTGCAACATTTTCATTGTATGTAATTTTTTAGATTATATTTCCTTAGTAAAATCGAATGAGGGTTTTTTTTTAGAATATTTGTCCTTCCAACTCAATTGCTTGTGTATCCTTTTCGTCCTTAATTTATTGAAGCGGGCTCCAATTATCACAAGATGCTAATTCTCATTCTCGCAATATTCTACAAAAAATATTGCTCTTTAAATTTTGGGTGGGGCCTCAAAGACGAAGAAATCGATATTTTAACTTGTAGATGGTCTTTTTGGTCTATTTTTTAACCGTATATTTAGATAACAAAATCGGAAATAGTCCGGTTCATTACATTTAGCACGTTTGTTTACTAGCTTTCTAATGATATGCATATAAGGTATTGAAACCGGTTTAATTATCTGAATATCCGGTTCAAAAGAAATCTTAAACAAATCACACAATAGCTACAAATCAAAGTATGAATCTAAGTCTCCGACCTATGGCGAATTTTTCCCTCCGGGGTTTTCGTATACTCACCAAGGTCTTTCATCCCAATAGAAATATTTTAAATAGGAAAACCAAGCGTCCAACAGGCCTCTCACAATCTTAAGGGAACCCCCCCATTCTCGATTTTATTTTTTCAAGATTTTCAATGGGCTGGTAAATCAATCCAATGCTTGTTAAGGTTTGTAACTTTGCACATATATATTTGAAGATTTAAAAGAGAAGAAAAATAATTTACAAAAAAAATTTGTTATTGTTTTGTTGTTGTTTTTTGTAATTAAAGAAAAGTCCTTATTTTTGATGGCGGGCATGATAACTCCTCACTGGAACATCGGAATCCGAAAATTCCAACGGTGTTAGTGACTCTCGTATGAACTAGGATTATTGACTTCGCTCTAAAATTAAGAAAATGGTGGCCCTTTGAAACAATATTTTTGAAAAATCGCGGATTTTTTACCAAAAACCAAGTTAAAAAATAAGGAAGATCTTCACCGATTGGCTTTATCCTAGTCCATACGAGAGCTATACACTCCCAGAGAAACGTTGCAAAATTTGGAACCGATTGGATTATTAGTTTTTGAGTTATCGTGCCCGCCATTCGCAAAAAAATGTTTAGAGAAAAACGCGTTTAAAGTTTGAAAGCCCTTCAGCCGTCACTTGATGCTGACACAATAAATCGGATATATCTTCAATAGTTCTTGAGATTTTCACTTGAAATTTTGTAGAGACATTCTTTAATCAGTGTAGATTCGAATTATATCTACAAAAATTTTGACCCCGAGAATGGGGGGGGGTCCCCTTAAGTGTATGTCCTGCTACCGGAAATCTTTTCAATCTAACCTAAATACTTGATTCCGATTTAATTCGAATCCAATATGGCATGATTCAACTATACTTCATACCAAATATTCTTTGTTCTCTTCCCACCCGTAAATAAGGTCAATCGATTGTCTTCGTCAGTATTGTTCTACGTGTATTTAGTAACGTCAACTATTTGTTTACTTCTCGCACCCGCTGATTTCATTGAAAATGCGTCCGATCATCGACGCACTCGGGCTGCTACCTACCAGCACTTTGGCATTTCGTATGCAAATCACGCTTCACCTCTAAACGTAACACAAGGGATGTAGGTGATAGCCCTCACTTAGTATGCCTTGAAAATATCCGCCATGAATTTTTTATTTATTTATTTACTAATTACATACATTTTTTGTGTTTCTGTTTTTTTTGCGGCTGTCGCAAAACATTGCGGATTTATAATCGGCAGTGCAAAAAACAAATATACATATTAGTTTTTAATTCCCATTACCTACCGATGTTACATTATTCGAGCAATGTTTTTGGAATTTTAATCAAATCATGGCATTAGTCATCAAAATAAATTTACGATGGTGTTGAAAATGACCACATGGACGATTTTGAGTTATCACGTTTTATGTCATTGTACAATTAGATGCCGACTTGCAAAATTGTGTATGCGAATTTCATCCAAATCATCTTTTAAATCCATAATTTCCGCGTGACACATTTGTTTGTATTGTATTCGAAGTTGGGGTTTGTGGGCCAATTTCAAGTATTTTAAATTTGCAGCATATCGGTACTAAAGATGCCTACGCAAACACTTTCTCCAGTATTAGACATTGCGAATTTTGTAATTTTTTATTCCTTCGAGTTTGTGAGAGACGAGAGTAGTTTTGCGACAACGGCTTTGCAGTGGTGCAGATTAATCTGCAGGATCCGCAGCCTTTGACGCTTCCCTACTCTTATTGAGTTTCGTGGATGTTTTCAGTCGAAACCGAACCCATCCTGAACCGAAGTTAAATTTTCCCTCACGCTCTTTGAGATAAGCCTCCCCAGGTGGGTCAACTGCCACTCTTGCAAGCATCCCTCCATTCTCGTTACAAGGTGTTAGACTGACAACAGTCCAACTTGAGGTAGTGAGGTTGGGATTTTGCAGCGTCAGCATTTTCAGCAGGAGTTCCTTATCCTCCGAAGGTGGGGGAATCCATCTGGGTGGGATCTCAAATAAGGAGACCGCAGCAAGGTTGGTCCCTTCCCTAAGTGCGCCAAAGCCGTCAACAGTTCTCACGAGGAAATCTCTCGATTTCCTGTTTAAACAGTTTATTACTACAGCACCACTCTGCACCATAAAGATCAGATTTGTCGATGATTGCTACTTTAAGGTCATCGTCAGCAGCTACCATGGTCGACCTGTCGTATAGTTTATTCTGCCTTTGATCATGATCCTTGGAGTTAACTTTTCCAGACGAGGTTGATACCCTCCCTGTACTCGGTTTATTCTCCGCAGTTTGCTGCTCAACGACAACCGCATACGAGGTTGATGGGTCAGTCGGACGCGAAATCATCGTCTTTTTGGGTGAATGGTGCGGATTTGTTCTGGGGGCAGCATTCGCTCTTCCAGAATACGATAGTTCCTTGCCAGACTTGGCCTTCTTCATATTCCTACCAACGGTGGGGCTACTCAAAGTGTTAGCACCAACCGCTTCACCTTTGTGAATTGGCTTAGAATCGGGCTTTGAGACAGAGCCCTCCACACGTCGAACACCCTTATGGAGCGTGCTCAACAGCCTTTCCCATTGCCTTTTGGCTCGGGTTAGGCTTCGGATCAGAAGTCGGTTTCACACCTTTGCCAGGGACATTTATCGCCCTCCAAAAAACCGGTATGCCCAATTACAGTCCCTACGATTGGAAACATTTAATATACCAGAATAAGGGTCTATTGCAAAATATGGATATTTATAGAACATTTTCTTCATAGATGTTTTCCATCCTTCAAAAACACGCAAAGCCAAATTACAGGACTATCGATTGGGCGCCAAAAGTGGGGAAACATTTTTTTAATCTCCAAAAAAAATGTGAATACAAAATTCCAGCCCCTCTGGTTGAAAAATGAGTCTAAAACTTTTCCAATAGCGGAAGTGGGGACTATTACTAGCCGCTCTTTTGCAGAAAATTAAGTTTTCAATTGTCTTACACCATACAAGGAACAGAAGAACTTATACAGCCTCTCAATCGGAGTGTGTAAGAGATATTTTTCTAAACAAAATATCAGATTTTGCAAACATTTCTCCACCTTGTTGCGAAGGCTCTGCAAATCGGTTTAACGGAACACCCCAATAAACCACTTTACAATATTTTTTCTTACATCATTTTCCATTGTTTCGGTTCAAGTTGTTTACACTACTACTTTTTCCGAGGGAAGTGCAATGGACGTTAAAGTGGATGTTTATGCATCTAGTCAACAAGCATGATAGCTGACTGACTGGCTGGCTGCTTGACTGACTAACTGGTAGACAGCTTAGGGCGCATGCGCAGCGCTTGTCTGTCGCCTCAGCTATTAAATGTTATACATTGTCTATGTTCATGTTGTTGTTTTTCTTACTGTATAGCTGCCGATGTTGTTGTTGTTGTTGTTTGATGTTGTCTATTGAAGTTGATTGCCATTAATTGATGATGTGAACTTAGCCAATTGTTTACAATTTGTTACAGTTTATTGCAAATGGCATTGCCCTCGCAGGCAGTTTTCAATTTAAAAATAAACCATATCGCTTTTAATTTTCAAGGAAGTAAATTGAACCATAAACCAAAAACAAACAAACAAATTGCTGTTGATGTGATCTAGTATTTTGTGTGTGTTCCGAAAACTCGATCAGCTGTGTTTAGAATTCTAAACCAAACCAACAAAAAATACATAAAAACCTCCAAACAATGTCAAAAAGCCGGTACATTAAATAGTGTCGTCATCAATCGTTTAAAAGCGTACTAAACAAAAACAATTCAACTGCCGAACAACTTTCGCTTTCGCACTTTGTGCGTTCGATTGACGTGTGCGCTGACGCAACGTCGCTGCAAACTGTAGCTGGAAATGCATGTTTGAATTACGCCGCTTCTCATTAAAGTAATTTACGCAACGCATCCACTAAGCAACGACTATAACAACAACTATGAGCCAAAAACGTCAATTGAATTACTCCAAAGAATGTCATCGTCTGGAGGAAATTGTGGACAATCTTCGGCATGAACTGCACTACACCCGGCTGGCCCTGGATGACAAAGACAATGAAGTTCAAAGTCTAAAAAAGGCCTTGCGAGAGTGCCACCAATGCAGTGGAACACAACATCACCATCAGAAACATGCTCCCTCGTCATTAGGCAGCACTGCGGGTCAACGACATCTGGAACGTTGTGATGGTGCAAGCGATGTTGATGATAATGGTCAAACCGATACACTGCCACCCCCAACTGCTTCTCAATTACAGGAAATGATTGATGTTATCGATCATCTACAAATTGCCCTGCACGATAAAGAGAAAGCTTTGACCGAATGCCAAGAACGTAATCGTTTCTTTTGTCAGAGTATTGCCCGGCTCCAGCAAGAGTGTCATACCAAAGATGCCCTAGTCGTTGAATTGCAGAATGAAATTGATAAATTCCGTCAGGTGGTCAAGCCGTTGACTCAGGTTTTCCTCCAGCATCACAAAACGGAATGTGATGATATAAATTGTAATATTGGCATGGAATCGACACGAGTCCTGCCATCGGAATACAAACGCATCAAACGTCAGGGATGCAGTGCTGAGCCATTAACCAATTTGGTCGAGGCCGAGGATAAGCTGATGAAGATACCCAAATGTGCAAAGTAATTTTATGGTTTTACTGTGGTTTATTAAATATTAATTACAAGTAGATAGAATTGCCTCAATATTGGACCAATTTTGATTAAAAATATGAAATGGGAATTATTGACATTTAATATAAACAATGTTAACTGCCCAGATCTTTACATTCCAAATTACATCTAAAGGAAAATGTATTTAAAATTTCAAAATGTTTGAAATCAAGATTAACAATTTGAGAGTAAATATCCTTCCTTTACTATTTCCAAATTCAAAAAATAGCCATTTTGATTAAGAAATATAAACAGGTCTCTAATACCCAAGGTTATATATATAGTTATATATATTGTATTACTTGTGTTCTCTTCGGACAATTTATTCGATTTTTCTCCAAAGTAGTTGTTTTTGTAAAAACAATTCTCAATTTAAGTAATTACTTTATAATATTTACTAAATATTTATAACCGCAATTTTTCTAACCTCCTTCCTTCCTATCTTTTTTTACAGATCACGTGAACTTATTAAATCTGCCATTTTGGATAATGATTTCATGAAGAATTTGGACATAACGCAAATCCGGGAAATTGTCGATTGTATGTATCCGGTTAAATATGCAGCCAAGAGTCTCATTATCAAGGAGGGCGATGTCGGCAGCATTGTTTATGTTATGGAAGGTAAGTTACATTGCATTGATTAGAGTCGTATTTTCAAAAGCGCCTAAAAGTATGCTCATATTTTTTGCAAAAATAAATGACTTGGGTGGAAATGTGTAGTGTTACTACAATTTTCACCGTTAATAATGCAAATATAAGCGTGCGTTGATTGTTTATTATATTGGAAAAATTATAATAACAACAAATGCATAAAAAATAAAATTATAATAAAAAATAATTTAATATATTGACATATTATTCATCGAATTTCCCTAAAGATGATTTTGAGAGTACAGTAAAATCTCGATAATCCACACATCGCTAATCCAGATTATCCGGTAATCGGGAATGCATTTCGAAAATCATTGAGGATTCTCAACATATTTTTTTATTAAAATCGTAGCAAGCACGAAACTCCTTTTAGAATTATGAGCGGGTGAATGCTTCCGTCATCAGTGCGGTAATTTGGCACGACGCCTTCAGTAAAGAGGTCATACAAAATTGTAACCCGCCAAACACTACTGTATCTATTTTAGGACAAATTGTATTTATTATATTTGACAATGATCTCGCCACTGATCCTCATCTGATTCCTTAGTTTTTTGTTGTGATAATCCGGATAATTTGGCAATCCGGATTGAGGTCTGCAATCAATTGTCCGGATAAACGAGATTTTACTGTAGTTGACTAAACCAAAGTTTTATCTGTTGTAATCGAGAGTATGACTATATCAAAGCAACAAATCGAAAATAATTTTAAATTTCTGCACTCAAAAAGTATTTTGCCGTACATATACTCCAGTAATAAAACCAGCCTTCTGAAATAAAGTTTTAAATATTTTGATCATGATCGATCAATAAATCTCAGATAGTAGAAGGAGTGGGCCAATAGATCTCATCTTCCGTAGGGTTGGTAAAAATATTACCATGTTCAAAGTTCGGGATACTCCATTCGCTTCATATAGGGGAGACTGGGGCACCTTCGGCATCGGGGCACCTTCGGCAATTGCGTTTTCGATATGAAGCTCTCACCGTACATCAAAAAATTAAAAAATAAATAACTGACACAAAGTTTGAAATTTCTAGCTAATTTATTTAGATACATAGGTTTTTGTATTTTTATAGATGTTTCTGTAATATTTCAATTCCATTTCGTAAGTATTTCGTGTATAAAACTTTTAAAATTTTTAAGACAATATTATTAAAAAGTGGTTATCTACGATGTGTGTTATTATGAAAATATTTAAAAATATAAGTTTTTACAAATCTGATCGAAAAAAATGAAAAAAACTATAAAAAGTATATTCGGGGTACATTCGGCATTTTAAAGTGGGGCACATTATATACAGATTGAGCAATATTATTTCCTTAAAATTTTTTTGAGTTTGTCTTTAAAACTAATCCTTTAATATGGCTCCAAGTCGCATATATAAGATCAGACGTGCTTGTATTGACGAAAATGCGATAGAAAATCTCTATTTCTGATAGTGTGTGCGACCTTCAGATGTAAACGTCCGCCGCTAGAAAATAAAGCCCTATAATTCAAAGATTGTGCGGCGTATTAGAACCAAATAGAGCCTTTAGAGGATCAGAATTTCAACTAGACTAATAGCGATGACAATTACCCGGCTATGACTATGGTTTGCCCCATCAAATGCCGAATATTTTCGGCGAATTTGACTTTTTTTACAAAACTGTAAAATTTTTTAACTAATACTATTTTTGTATATCTTTTTTGTACTATTATTTATAATTAAGAGTCAGGGGACAATAATCAGCCATAAAGTTGTTATATATGTTGAATAAGTACTGAGATATAGAGCTCAAAAAAAAAGTGCCGAAGGTGCCCCAGTCTCCCCTACTATTAACATTCACCCAAATGTTAATTCTTTTTGTGGAGGTACGAAAAGAATGTTTCGGACAAATCGGATATTCCATTCGCTTCATATTATATATTGATCCCTTGTAGTGGAGTTACCACAAGAAGTGTACCGATAGGCTTCATCTTCGTATATAATATAGGGTAGGTAGAAATATTACTGTATGCTCAGATACTCCATATTCTTAAATTTTCCTAAATGTTGGCACCTTTTGAGGAGATTCCGGAAAGGTGAACCGAGGAAATCACAAAGGCGACTTTTCAAGATCGACTTTCGATTTTCTTTTTAAATACATAGTTTATTATCCCAAAGCCCAAATTTCCCAAAAATTACACATTCCAGAGTTTTATTTTACCTATTGACAACATTTTATATAAAACAATTAAATTTTTTAATTTTGAAAGAAATTTTACCATGTGCAAAATTTGAATCAAGTGGTTTATACCCATAGACAAACGGTTGGACATTTTAAAATCGACTAAATTTTCCTTGAAACGAATAGGGCACATTCCTTCGTAATAAAGTGTATACAGCCTTATTTTCTTTAAGGCTAAGCGTGATTTTATATTTGTCGGGATCGGGATCGGTGTTGAGAGTTTCTCTCTCGAGAGAGAGTAATTAGAGTTGCGCTATTTTTAATTTTGTAACAAGCGTACTTTTTGTTAACAAAAGGTACGAATTGACATAAACGTACCAAAACAAAAATTAGATTTTTTATTATTCGTGAATACATTTACGCTTAAATTATAACATATGTTATTTATGCAAATAACTGGTATAAATATTGGCCAATATTTCTCGATAATTATGATTTATTATCATTTGAAGTAGAATTTAAGGTACCTTTTCGTACTTTTTTGTTCCTACCTGTGGTAATGTTTTCCAACACAATTCACAATTTACCACTGAGAGAGAGAGAAACTCTCAACACCGATCCCGGCAAATATAAAACCACGCTAAGGGAAAAGACATCTGTGTGATCGTTTTCAGTGGTGCGGATAGTTTAGATCACTGTTCACCAAACAGGCGCCCGTGGGCGCTTTTGGAGAGTACCAATACAATCACAGTTCTGTGTTCGAACTCAACATTATTCTCGACATCGAACATGTCGTATGCTTTGCAATGCTTTAACATAGACGATCTGTACCGAGAGAGCGAAAATTACTCTCCCAACGGATCTATGCGTGTGTCCAACACAACCATAGCAGTTTGCATATGTATTGTTGGCTAACCCTGGTTTAGATGTTATTCTTATAAAAATTTAGCCATGTCTGTCTATAGCAGGGTTAGCCAACAATAAATATGCAAACTGCTATGGTTGTGTTGGACACACGCATAGATCCGTTGGGAGAGTAATTTTCGCTCTCTCGGTACAGATCGTCTATGTTAAAGCATTGCAAAGCATACGACATGTTCGATGTCGTGAATAATGTTGAGTTCGAACACAGAACTGTGATTGTATTGGTACTCTCCAAAAGCGCCCACGGGCGCCTGTTTGGTGAACAGTGGTCTATAGGGATCATACACACTATGGAGGGAGACTCTTTTATGTAGATATACAGGTAATTTCTCAACCAAATTTAGTTTTAGGACCAATTCGGGTTTGAATTAGGAAATAGATTTTATCGAAAAATGTGTTAATATGAATACAACAGAACCCTTTAATATTTTGTATTTTGAAGACCTCAGCAATATTAACTTCCATTTTTTCCATTCTCAATAAAAATCTTGTTGTTACGGACCCTAGTAACTCTTAAATCGTGTTTTCCCCGTTCATTTTTCCTTCTCTGACTATTTAACTAATCATTTTAATTGTAAACATACATTTCAACATTGTCTTGGACAAATATTTATTCCAATTAAATGTCCTACATAATATGCATGTAAAATATACCGGAAACAGGGTTACTGAACAGAATGGCAACTCTTAACAGCACTTGAAGCTGTATATGTGTGAGCGAAAGAGTGAGAGAGTGAATGTATCCCTCTCTTCTCTTTATGGCTCTTCTGTAATCTCATCAACAACAAACAAGAAGCGTGCACAAACATTTTCATTTTCGCATTGAATATTTTGTTTCGTTGTTGGCTGCTTGTTTACTTCGTCGTTTTTGGTCGATTGTTTTGGTTGGTATATCATGTCTTTGCTTGCTCCAACCCAAGTAAATTTTGTGTGTTGTGCGCTGGTATGTGTGAGTGTTTGTTTTGTTACTAACCTCAGATCATTTGATGTGGGGATCAGACAATGGTTGGCTGGCTGGTTGGCAGTCGTGTTTTGATCATTACGCGAAGAGCAACGTTTAGCGCATTCCGGTTTGATTGCTCGCTCGACAGTGACGGCCGATATTTTTTTATTCGTTTCAAAGCCGAATTAGTGTGGCTTCGCGTTTCGATTAATTATTTGTTTAAGTTCACGTTGGTATTTTTGTCTTGTCTTGTTTCTTTATTTTACATAAAATAAAGTAAAAATTAATAACCACAAAGCAACAACAACGAAACAACATTGCGGAAGAAATACCAAAAAATATATAAAAATTAATCATAAGAAAATCATAGAATACAAAACAGAGAAGAAGAGAGAAAAAATAACAACAACAAAAAACCATAATCATCGTCATCACAAGGAAATCAACAATGGTCATTTCGGCATTCCAACCAAGTTTTATGTGTTTTTCTTGAAGTGTATTCGAAGTGTGTGCTAATATGAAACAAACAATCAATTTGAAAATCTGTATGTAATTGAAATGTGAATTGGAGCAGCAGAAATATTTAATAAAATGTTTTGATAATAAAAATACAATAAATAGATCGAAACCACTTGAATAATAATAAATAAGAAAAATAATAACATAAAAGTGATATAGTTTTTGCTACCAAGCAAATTCAACAAAATCGACGGCTGCTGTTGTTATTATTATCGTACGTATTACATACCTACATACATACATAATGAGCCTCGATGTGATTATGTATGAATATGTGTGTAGAGTAGATCTGAAGTGAATAAAACAAAGCAATTCGTACATTGTCATACCTGACGACTACCTACCCTGAATGCCTGGCAGCTTGCCTACTGCCTGCCTGGCCTGCAGCTGATTATTACAATGCTCTTTGATGTATAAAATTTCCTGATTTCAAAATTCTG